CTTGGGTGACCACTTACAAGGTAAAACTAGCCATTTCTTCATGTCCATTGGGGCATAAACAGCATTCATGCTCACAATAGGTACACAAACACTACATTGATTGTTGTAGCTATAGCAATGCAGCATTCCTTGCAGCTTGAGGGATGTGAAGCTGCCGTATACCTTCAGTGGAAGAATACCAGTCTACAAACTTAAATCATATAATTTCCTGGACCTGGATTCGAACCAGGACCAATGAAGTGTCTTAAACCACTTGGCCATCTTTGCTCCGCAGAGTTCTTCTTAGATTAATTGAGCAAAATTCAACTTGCCACAATAATGAATGCAGTCCGACTATCAACATAAAATGATTTATTTACAGGTATCACATAGTTTGAATGGTACTGATTGGATTTTTTATAAGGACGACGACAGGGAAGGATCACAAGTCAAGGTAAAGTTCACTCGCTCAGTCCAGCCGCAAAATTTTAACAAGGGTTCAGTTGACATCATACCAATAGCACATTTTTTTCAAATAATTTCAGAATTTCACCGGCAACACAGATGCAACTGGATATGTGACAAACCTCTTTAACAGGGACATTCTAGCAAGGCACATTAGGATTCACCCCGTGACATGGCACAAGACGACTGATTATCCTTGTATGAGAGCAACAGCCTTGGGTCGACGTACAGGTGATAAAATACAGATCTCACTCAATATGATGGCCACTTCAGCTTTATCAATGAACCGTTTCTTAATTCAAAGCGAAAGTCTATTGTTTTAATATAAACATGAATTGCTTTAGGTTTCCTTGGGTCTCCTGTGTTTACCACTCAGGAAAGGTCTTACATTACTGCTTACAGCAACCAGCACATTACTTTGAATTGTGATGCTGTCGGGGACACACCCATGACTTTCACCTGGATATATGAAGGACAAGTCATCCAGAATAAAACAGATCAGCCATCACTAATCCTTACTAATGTCACTAAATCTAACAAAGGATTTTATACCTGCAATGCATCCAATGCAATTGGTGTATATTCCAAGAACCTATATCTCCATGTAAAGGGTAGGTACTGGCTTTGATTGCAAGCCTGTCACTCGATCCCTGAATGCTCTTTTGAAGAAACGTCTCGCTTTTTCTGTCGAATTACTCAGTTCGCCTTGTCAATTATTTTATTGGTCCTTGGCACTTCGTTCAAAATGCATTGTCGATTTGAAGCTGGTTGTACAAAGGGTATCACCAGAATGGATATACACCACGGATAAATCTTTATCCAGCGCATAAAAGGCCTACTCCAGGCCAGAAAGTCGCCTTAAGTCGCCGCAACTTGAGGCAACTTAAGGCGACCAAGAAAAAATGAGGGTAAATTGGGCGGGGAAATGTGGCAGCTTAAGGCTTCTTCTAAAGGACATTTGGATGATAATTAGGTGGGGCCATTCGCGACTAATGGCGTATTAAGAAGGCGTGTTAAGGCAACTTTCTGTCCCGGAGTAGGCCTGATAAAAAAACATGAAGTGCAGATTACCTTATCCACCCTTTGGAAAACCGGACCCTTGTCGGACATGCATGAAGATAAATCTCAGCGGAATTGCTCATTTAAAGTCGTATCTTGTTTCTTCACTGTGTTGTAGAATCGTTTGAAGTATGTACCAGATATCAAACTATCGTTGACAATTCTCGATGGGTGGGAGCTACTTCAATTGCAAGCAGTGATACGACTTTCAATGAGAGTGACTGGTACGTATTCAAAGACAGCCACAACAACTTCTACCAAATACCAACGACCTGCGTACCTCAAAAACACTGTGGAGCATTGGCACCAGGGTACATGCA